TAGGGGCAAATGGAGGTACAAAGCCCCGAATGAGGGCAAATGGAGCCAAATTACCAATATTAGGGGCAAATGGAGGTACAAAGCCCCGAATGAGGGCCAATGGAGCCAAAGAAAAAACAATATTAGGGGCAAATGGAGGTACAAAGCCCAGAATGAGGGCAAATGGAGCCAATATTAGGGGTAAATAGGGTTGAGTGGCCAGAATGGGGGCAAATGGGGCTTAAAAACCCAAAGATTGGGGTTAAATGGCTTCCCCTTCCAACCTCTTCTTCCCCTCCCCCCTTAAATGGGGCAATTAGGGCCAAAACCCCTCTCCATTGCCCACCTCAAGTGATATTGGGGCTGGGGAACCCAATAGGGGACGGACCCGCGTTTTTGGTTCCTACGAGCCGCCGCCCAAAACCACTTCCGCCGACGTCAACGGATGGGGGAACGGGCTTGAGCGGCGGACACTTCCGGTGTGCGGCCCCTTCCTTCTAGGGGACTTATATTAGGAACGGGCACTTCCGGCGGGTAAAGGTCCCCCCCTTCGCATCCCGCGGTGAGTAGGGCTGGGTATGAGGGGGCACACTTCCGGTCAGCGGGGCCATCGGGTCCTCCCGACAAACCTGCGGGTCCTCCCGGATCACCTCCGGGTCCTCCCAGATCCCAAACCAGGTCCTCCCAGCGCCGCTCTTGTCCCCCGCGGGCGCGCCTTTGGTCGTTCCCTCCCCCAACACGCGGGCGGGCTCTCCGTCCGCCGCTGCGGATTTCCCCCGCCACGCCCCCTTCCTGACACCCGCTTCCGCCGGTGCGTCGCCCTTTCCGGTCCCACCTTCGCCGAGGGCGGGTCACAAAGGTTCCCCCCTCCCACCATCACCAAAGAGCAGGAGAGCTGGGGGTGGTCTCATTGGGAGGTCAATGTGCTTCACTGAGGGGCAAGGTCTGTCCCTCGGGGGGGGGGTGTTTTTGAAGGGGGTTCAGGGGTCAAAGTTGGTCATGGAGGGCTGAAATGGGTCACTGAGCGGGTTAAAGGTGGATCTGGGGCCAAAATTGACCATTAAAGAGGGTTCAAGGGTCATAATAGGTCATTGGGAGGCAAAGTGGGTTATCGAGGGGGTGAACTGGGCCATTGAGGCATTAAAAGTGGGTTGACGGGGCCATAGTTAGTCATTAAAGTGATTGAAGTGGGTTCAGGAGTCATAATTGGTCATGG